TATATATATATATATATATATATATATATAGAGAGAGAGAGAGAGAGAGAGAGAGAGAGAGTTGGAAAGATATAGCAGTTTTACAGTCAGTTAAATAAACCATGTAGCAGTTTACTATACCTGCCTGTCTCAATGGTCTTATTGGTGAAAATAAAATCTAAGAACCATTATAACCACCGGACTGGTTATTACATGGGTATGATAGCTAAATATCCGCTGCAATTATAAGCTATGGAACTCAAGTCCAACAGCAACCAAATGAGCAGAACAAAATATATGTCTAAATGTCTAATCAATTATTTGTTATTGTTTGAAAAGGCATACAATCTAAAGATACAGATACCGCTAAACAAATTAATGACATATTATGGTCTCTATACTAATTACCTTCTTTTGTTGACCTTGCGATGAGTCTGTCCAGCATCAAACCAGTCGGCAAGGCCCAGAACAGAGAAACCACTTGAAACCAGGAATACACGTCCGTATACGTACTAACTGTAATATAAATGGGATTAGATGAAACGTTTTTTGCATTGTCTCTTAGGTATAGCTTAAGGCGGTAAAATGCACATCGGTATTTAAAAAGGACTTTTTGTCGAAGGTTCTAAAGCCCACATCATCGAGTCTGTCACCGAGGTTCTTTACTGAGTTACGGTAACGCTTCGCTTGTGACTCATAATTTAAAAACTTTAAGGTTTATACTTTTCACGAAATTAAGGATAATAAGTATCATCTGAAGGAAGAATATCCTGGGGCGTTGCATGTTTATGGTCACCCGTTTTAGGAATTAGGCAAGTGACTTGCTTACTTTAAATATCTAGCGATATATTAATATAACCACAACAGAACACTTTGAACCAAACAAAGCCAAGTGGTGGGATTGCAGAAACTTTGAAGAGCATGTTTCATTTTTATAATTCAATAACGCCCAATTTATCTCCCTTCACTGGGTTTTGAAATAGCTAAGATGATATAAAGACGCAAATATATTACCTGTGCTTTTGACATTGTTTCCGTAGTAATTGATGATCGCGTAAAAACAACCTTGGTATGTGACAATGATAGTATCCTGGCATATAAACCACAACAGCAGCAACCAAAATGTTGGTCTTCTGATGAGCAGTAGCGTTCCATGCAGAAAACTGGTGTTAGTGTTGTCGTCGACATCTTTGCTGTCAGGGTTTTCTACTTCGCGCACCATCTGGTCACTTTGATCGATACACGTTTTCCTCTGTTCGCCATTTTTGTTGTGTTGATGACAGGTGTTAATGCTTACAGCATGATGGTCATTCTTGTCATGGGCTTCCGCCGGGGTTGCCTCCCCATCTACTTTGTAACAGAGAAACCCTTCTTGATGAATAGGAACAAATTTTGCATACTAGTAAATGGTACAGTTACAGTGCATTGGTACTCTGTTGGATGGCGCAGCCGGGCAGTTAAATATGGTATTTCTTCACAATAAAGAATGGTGCGTTGCGATAAGGAAGGTATGGGTTGGTTCTAAATATTGACCAATCACCCTTATTTGGGTTTTTAGGTATAAGGTCATAGAAAATTATTGCTTCATCATCGGACGTGTTTGTTGAGTTTAATCAACATTCTTTTATAATTTGATACTCACCAATTTCTTTGTCTGTAGCAGACTCATTCACACCATTTTGATCGTACGCTTCATTGCCATAAGCAAAATGTACCACGTTAGGTTTGGAAGAGTCGTCGGCGGATCTGTGCCTTTTGCGAATATTTAAACAACAAGCAGCATCAATGTTGTTCCCGTCGTCATCCTGTCTAGGTGGAAGGGTGATTGTGTTCACAGAAGACAGAAAGAATATGATGCCGGCAAAGGTGAACATGCACGTCTTGTACGACACTCCGGCCTGGTACGCCATCTACAATTTATTGCATTTCCATAGCATTTGAAACAAATCTTGATGTGCGCATTCAGAAACAATAATGAGGGATATCAAGTCAGCAAGCAATATAGCATATGTGTTGCCAGTCTATACCGGTTAGTAACCGGCAAATGAAGTGAATCATAAATTTGGTCAGCTACATCATAAACATTTTATATGAGATTAATATTCATCAATGTAACTTCATTTTTGACAGAACTTGTCCCGTGATTACAATATTTCATTGAATAAAATTAAGTCCCAAATAAAGTCGCTTGGATCACCGACTCAGTATTTGCCTAAATATTATACAAGTTTGAGAATATTTTTGATACAAACACGGATACCGACATTCTTATCACTGAGTGTGTGTGTGTGTGCGTGTGCCTAGGTAAGGGGTGCATTAATTACCTTGAGCAAAATAGGGACAAAACCACTAACGTCTATGGCACCGGAAACCAAACAGGTGAGTGTCGCCTTCATCTTTGGAAATAGCGCGGCCACCTGGACGTCAGTTATAGCCAACTGGTAGCCTCCCATCAGGTGGAATACAGCCCCAGGAAATAACAGCCATTCTGTGCCTTTCAAAATTGAAAATGTTCATTGTCTCTTAATTATTAAATCAGTTTAAATATGGCGGACCCTAGATAAAAGGAAGACCGCTTAATCCTGTAATGGCCTCTCCGCCTCTCACACGTCTCCCTACAGGGGCGCAGTAATTAAATCTCATTCGACCGGACGCGTGGGTAGGTGTGGTTTTATATGTTAAAATCGTCTGGATTGTTATAATGTTTTTCAGTCATATAAGTTACCTGTACTTTACATTAAAAACTGTGAACCTAAGTTTTTTTTATACTGTAAGGATATACCGAGATAGTTACATACCTTTCTCAGTCAACGCCATCAGGATAACTCCACCAACACACAAGCATCTGAAAGAAAACTACAAATAATAATTTCAATTTTAATATATTTCTGTATTGGCACATATATTATCATGACTTTGCACAATATATCAACATCAATACAACTGGAGATTTACTATTTGCTAATTGGTAATTGTGTTGCCAGTTTATGACTGAACAAGTATATATCTTTATTTAATGAACAAATGTGCCGGTTAAAACACAGACATTCAAGCTAAAGGGTGAGATGTATAACTTCTAGATTAATTAGACATAAAGGATAACAACATTCATCCACTGTATTAACCTCTCCGTTATGAGTGCGTGTGTCGCGACTCTCGGGTTCGCATTTTTTGCGGAAAGGAATTACGAGGGAGAGAATGACGTACATAGAGGTCACGCAAAGCAAGAAGACGAATTATTTAACGTAATGGCTATGGCAACAGTCAATTGAGACAGTGCTCCTTTGTTATGTAAGATTAATTTGACATTATATATCGCCATGAGAGCAATCGAGTTAAAAAGGGTTACTTTGTATTGTATGTAAAGCTTTTGTGCTTGTACTCAGGGATGGAAATTTTGCCCCTGTAAAATTAGCCGTTATTTACCGTCGTTAAAATCATAAACAAGTGTAAATGAGTTATGGCATTACACCATTTTCGACCAAAATTCGTTCACCAAGCCACGCGTAGCAGGGGCTTCAATGAAATATAACAATACTTACATAGATACGATCCTCAAACAGACTGTTCCATAGTGATCATAGACGTAACCAAGGAAAAATAGTGCCACTAAACCGACCATAGCGATTGTGTAAACCAGGTTGAGCATCTCTTCTTGTTCGGTGCACTTAAGAATAAGGTCCTCTCCGGCTGTGTCTTGTGTGCAGTTGCCAAGGCCAGAACAATCAGCACTCGTCATGTTATAAGTAGCATTTGTAACAGTATCGAAGTCACAACGTGAATAATAAAACCCTTCCTCTATGAATATGTACATGAAGGCTGGCCATCCGTATAACGTGACAGAGTAGACAGCAGCCTCTAAGATACCAAGTACGACACAGAATAGTTTCCAACAAGCACCGGCCGCCATACTGTCATGTACAGCAAACATACGGTTTAGATGGAGTACAAGGGCCTGGACTTTAAGGCAAGGGTCAGGTGAATGTCGAGGCGATAAGCGCAAGGCCGAGTGCTAATGTATTTGCTCACATACGTGACCTGGCTGGAAAAAGTACAGCGTTTCAATGATAACAGAAAACTCACTCTTGATATATATATATTGTGTAAGGTACTTTGAAGCAAGCACATTTGCTATGTTTTTGACAACGGTGGCCCGGAGAAGTGAAGCCGTTAATAAAATTATGAGACATCAGTATGATGATAGTAGCTACCTAGGGGCTAGGGACTCTGCACTTCATTACATTTATACAGACAACGATTAGCATGTCTGGCTTTCCTCTTCATATCAGTGTGAGTAAGGGGTACCTGAGGAGATCAGCATTGGTGAGAATTGTGCCGGAAGTGACGTGTAGTGGTGTAAGACGTAAAGCTGAGTGGTCACTTTTAGCTGGAGGTACTCCTGCCACTACACCGTGCATAGCTGAGAGACCCCGTGGAACAAGACCGACCGGATGGCCTTGTGATTAGAGTGTCCGCCTCCGGAGCGGGAGGACGTGAGTTCAAAACCCGTCCGGGGACATACCAGTCCTTTATAAACGGTATCTGCTGTCTCCCCGCTTGGCACTCAGCACTAAGGGGTTGAAGCAGGGGCTTGGTCAGGCATTGCAGAAATGATGTATTAGCTCTAAGCGCCTACTATGTCAGCCGAGCTGTATCCTCCCCAGGGAGGTGAGACCGTCTACATAGTGCACCAGTGCAGAAATGACCAAGCTTCTCTGACTTGAATAAAAAAATCATTTAAATAAATAAATAAATTACATAATTGTATAACTTCAACCTTCGGTTTGCGATTTTCCAATAAAGATTATTATTATTATTATTATTAACAACACTGATGCCAAAAATGTAGAAAGGCAAACCGCTGGCAATAAAGCATATTCCAAGGAACAGTACTCCCAACTGCAAAAATGAAATAAAATGAAACGATGATAAATAAATAAATGAATAAATAAATAAATGAGAATAAAAATATTAATTGACAATTTTACTGTAAATGTCGTCTCATTGACTGTGCTTTCATGTAAAAAAAATTACATTTATAATATGCCCTCCCCCCAAAAAAAAATGGTAATTTAGTCAAAGGTATAACTTATCAAAATAATTTATTTTAATTTTGAATTTTGCCATTCGTTTTCCACAGTCAACATGTACTCTAAGGTATTATTTCCACACTTCCTTCCAAACAACAGAAAGCCTATCGTCAAGTATATTGGATAATAAAGTACAACGATGAAGTCACACGCTTTAAGCATAACCTATTGTATTCTTACTCCATCCTTACTGAACACACAATGCCATACCAACAATGGTTGTTATACATACCCAGAATGGGTTACTGCATAAACTGTGCTTGTTTCAGAAAAAAATATTGTTAATTCAATAAGGGTTAGCAAACTACTGATGATGACTTGTATTCCAAATGCCTTGTTAAAATATTCTTACGGAAACCTGTAATTCAACTGTTTTAATGATACAATGTATCCATTTGTCAACGTGCATTTTCAAAGTATTGTAGGTCTCAGCCTTACCACACATATATTGGAAAGTAGCGAAAACGTATCTTGCTTCTGCAACTCTTGGTTGAGGGTAAGAAGGTTATAACAGATTAACATTTTCACATTTAGTCAGTAGAATCAAGTTCTGAGAACGGATTATGAAATTCACTAACGCAGATATCACGAATGCCGAATGTACGGCAAAACTCCCAGTTTTCAACACAGAGCAAAAGAGTGAAAGATTATTCTCGCTGTCGTCCTGTCCTGGGTGGAAGGGTGATTGTGTTAGCAGAAGACATAAGAAGTGTGATACTAAGATAGGTGAACATGCACGTCTTGAACGACCGGCCTCTCACACGCCTCCCTACGCTTCGTCCCTGCGTCCCTGAACGCGGTCCTCTACGACTGTTTCTTGCGTGTAGTTAACAATACCACTGCAATCAGAACGCATCAAGTTATAACTAACGCTGGTTACATAATCGACATTCCATCTATGAATACTAAAACATTCCCTTTATGAATATGTACATGAAGGCTGGCCATCCATATAACGTGACAGAGTTGAAAGAAGCCTTCAAAATACACAAAACAACACATATCAACTTCCACCTTGCCATCTGCAAACTGACCGAATGTTTTAGGACCTCTTTTATATTTACAGTCTACGTACTTCAGTGCCATGGGGTCGCCATGTGTTTCACATTTGCAATTATGCAGACTGATGTAAGAAATAACGTGTAAAATACATGTACATTTACCAATATGATTAAAAAAATGCTTACGTCCAGTTACATGGCCCCGATTTTAACTGCACGCTCATAGTTTTACAGCATTTAACAAACTTAATTTATTCAGCACTGGTGTTTACATTTGGAAGATTTTTATGATATTGTTTGTATCATACATGTACAAATAGGAAATATATTTCTCTCTCACCATGAAGAAGATATATACTTTACGACTTGCACTGTGGCATTCAATTTTTTCCAAAATAATTTAAAGGTACATTGTGTATTTATCGTTACTTTGCAATGGCTGTAGTACAGAAAATCGAGTTCCAGAAAACAACTTGCGACTGTAGTGCAGAAAACAACTTAATAATTAGATTGTTTTTTTTTGTTTTTTTTTAAATTTATTTCTGGAGAGTTGTCTCCACTGACGAACATTGGGGTTTTGTATCACAATAAAATTGTTAGTAGTAAATTATTATAGTAAGCGTGAGCAGAATATGGTAGCTGTAACTATAGCTATAGGCCTCGGCAGTAACATATTAGATTCGGACGTATACAATGGAGTCAACAGCATGCAACGAATTCAGTCATTTGCATGTACTCTAAAAGTTAGCAGAATGAAGTCATCACACTGGACTTTCCCGTATATTCTCCCCTGTCTAGTGGATGAATGACAGTGAAAAGAGCGAAACAGATTGCTGTAGAGCTTTGAGGCAATATAATATTAAAATAAAAATAAAATAAAAATATACGGCCTATATTTGTATTCCACTTAATGGCAAATGTGAACGAATCACGTACGCTTACCCACCTACAAATGACATCATGTAGATCACAGGCATTCCGTATATGGTCCACTTCTCCGCCCCATCTGAGCAGGGAATTATATCGGATATAATTCCCTGATCTGAGCAGTGTTTGTAAGTTTTCAAACCAGACCGTACACTAGCGCCATCTGGAGGAGAAAAGAACTGATCGCCTCTGCTGCAATCGGAAGCTGAGATTGCTTTTAATCAATTATGCAAGGGACATGGGGTTTTAACACAATAACTTCCAGGTGCTACAGGTACATGTTTTTGCCCTTTTTCTTTAAATCTGAACGAGGCAAAATAATATTTAATGCATGTAATTATCTCGTATAAAAACACGTACATCTGATTTCAACAATAAAAAGCCCAAATAATACTTTTTGACAAATTGAAGCCTCATATTTCCTAAAAAAAATAAATAAATAAATAAAAATAAAAATAAAAAAAGAATTAAGAAGAAATTTTATTTATGAAAAGTGTTTTCATTTATATTTTAGGGGATGTTCAGTCACATAGTTCTATATAGAACTGCCATGTTTTATTGTTCTTAATGTGTTTATCTTTTTTATGGGTGAGACTTCAATAAAATATCTAGATCTTGGTCTTGATCTAGTCCACTGCCACTTCATTGTATCCGTACTACAGCGCCGTTCCACAATTTCTGTCCTGTACATGTGGTTGTTATTGTGTGGAGCGGCACCGATGCCAAAGAAGGTAGAAAGGTAAACTGCTGGCCGTGAAGCATATTCCCAGGAACAGTACCCCGAGCTACAAAACAAGAACAAAATGCTAACTATCACAGAGAGAGGTGTCATTGGATAATTGTAAATCCCCGTGTCACCTGG